GGAGACTGTCAGCAGTTAGAGCTCATATTACAATAGCAGGGAACAGAGATTGACTCCTAGAACCCACAGATACCTCAGCAACTGCCTGTAACTACAGCTCTAAGGATCTAATGTCCTCTTCTGCCCTCTAAGGGCACTCAGTTGCCCATACCCATACAGAGGCACACAAAAATTCTTAAATCTAATTTATCGACATATAATCACATTGTATGACTCACCTACCAAAAATTTACAGTTGATCCAGGCATGGTGGTGCATGCCTATAATCTCAGCACTCAGGAGGCAGAGGCAGGTGGATCTCTGAGTCTGAGGCCAGCCTGGTCTACATAATGAGTTCCTGGACAGTCAGGGTTATGAAGAGAAACCTTGTTCAAAGAAAAAAGAAAAGTCACAGAACACCTGTTTAAAAGATTAGGGTGGCCGGGTGTTAGTGGCGCACACCTTCAGTCCCAGCACTGGGGAGGCAGAGGCAGGTGGATCTCTGTAAGTTTGAGGCCAGCCTGGTCTACAGAGTGAGTTCCAGGACAGGCTCCAAAGCCATAGCCATAGAGAAACCCTGTCTCAAAAAAAAGGGGGGGCACAGTTGTGTCACCATGGTATTTCTGTTTGATGGGGAGCAGAAAGCCTTGCAATCACAGGAGACCAGTACAGGTTAGTAAAATTCCTGTAAATTCCATGTATACATGCCTGAGGGTCAGACTGACCTTAGTTTTAGCCCAAGTTCAAGTCAGGATTCAACAAATATGTTTTTCTTACTTTTCTCTTATAATCATCTCCACTCATCAGGCACAGGTATGGTACATAAACATACATACAAGCAAAACAGCCATACACATAAATACATTAGTAATATTTAAAATCTGCTGGGCATTGGTGCCATACCTTTAACCTCAGCACTTAGGAGGCAGAGGCGGGCAGATTTCTGTGAGTTTGAGGTCAGCCTGGTCTACAGAGTTCCAGGCCAGGCAGGGCTCCATGGTGAGACCCTGCCTCAAAAAAAAACAAAAACAAAAAAAAAAAACAAAAAAAAAAAAAAAAAAAAAAAAAACCTCTGCTTTCACATTGTCCCTTTACATTCTACTTTGTGACCTTAACCTTTGGCACACACTCAACTCCATTCTCTATACGGCCCTGTTAGTCATTTGAAGAATGACTCCCACTGCAAGGCTGAGGGCACCAAGTTAAGGGGGTCTGACAGTGCCTACCCAGGACATCATGGTTCACTAATGACCAGCTGCAGGGTTCCACAGTTCATTCCAGAACACCACAAGTAGCACCTGGAAGTCCCTGGTCATCAGCCCTTTCCTAACCTGGGCCTTCTTGCCTTCCTTGTTGCCTTGGGATTAAAGGATGTGAGAAAGGGCTGAGCGGAGGTCTTGGTTGGCAGGAGCCTACCACCAGCTTCCCCGTCATCTTCAGCCCCAGCAACATAGCCTGGAAACACTAGGCTTTTCAGAAGGTAAATAAATGGACTTGGGTTGGGAACCACGTGTGACTTAAGACATGGGGGAAGCTGGTGGGAATGTTGGAATCATGGTTCTTCATGGGACACATGTTCAGAAAATCATGGTGTGGGCATGATCTGAGGGTAGAGCTTTCAGCCTCTGCTTACAAAAGGCCACTCATTAAACATTTGCAAGGCCTCAAGAGAAGAGACAGAGTCCTGCAGGTCCTGGAAGTTAACCCAGGTGACCGTTGTCTCCATGATCTACACATGGATCATGTTATGTACAGCAAAGCCAGTGGGACACTAACAAAATACTGCTTAGCTGCATCCCTGCCTTTCACATTCTCGCCCTCCTCCCTCCTTCTTTCCTTTCTTCTTTTTTATTTTCACAGAGTTTCTCTCTACTTCAGCTTCCAGAGTGATTGGGAATAGACCTATGCACTAGGCTTCTTGGGAACTAATACAGCCCCTAGTAAGACTTCAGTTTAATTTTTCTTTTAAAGATAAAATCTTATATGTGTCACTATGGCTGACTTTATTTTTTGTTGTTGTTGTTTTTTTGTTTTTTTTGAGCCAAAATTTTTATTTATTCATTTCTTGCACTTGAAGTATTCTTCGATGACATCCTTGGCCTGAGATTCTTTGCCATAGTCCTTAACCACTACACAACTACAGCCAACCACTTTCCGTGGCTTCCCCTCTCAATCAATTTTACAGAGGCCAACCCATTCCCCTAGCTTCTTGTCATCAATCTTAATTAGGTTGATCTGGTGCGCAGCACAAAGGGCCTCCACCAACTTGACATACATGGGCTCATCACAATTGGATGCAAACACACAGAGATGGGCTTGGCGCTTGTCTAAGGCTTTGGCAGCTTCGCGTATGCCACGTGCGAGGCCATCGTGAATGAGGGCGGTCTTGAGCACCTCCTGAAGTGCAGTATTCACGTCCATTACACCTCCAATAGCAATGCCTTCCTCGGCCATGGCGGTGGGTTACGGGTGAGGCCGAATCTTGTACACACCCGAGCCTCCGCCTCCGCGCAACCCGGCAGGGGAAAAGCCACTATGGCTGACTTTAATTTTGCAGTGGAGTCATGTTATCCAGACTGTTCTGGAATGGGTAGGCGTGTCATCCCTATACAATCTTCTTTTTGCAAGATTTTTTTTTTTTTTTTTAAATATGGGAAGCGGAGGCTGGAGAGATAGCTCACAGATTAAGAGCCTGACGGTGGCTCACAACTGTCTGTAATGAGATCTGGTGCCCTCTTCTGGCCTGCAGGGATACATGCAGACAGAACACTTTATATACATAATAATCTTTTAAAAAAATTAAAAATGAGGTTGGGGATTTAGCTCAGTAGTAGAGTGCTTGCAAGGCCCTGGGTTCAGTCCTCAGCTGGGGGGGGGGGGAACAGAATGATAAAAAATGTAAAATATGTGTGCATGTGTATGCTCACATATGTGTGCACAAATGCTCTTGCCCATGAGTACACATTTGGAAGCTAGTTGTTTTTGTCTGTTGCTCTCCACCTTACTTTTGGAGAAACGGTCTCCCACAGAACCTGGAGCTCATCATTCTAGCTAGATTGACTGGCCAGCAAACTCTGGGGAACCCCACCCCCAGCAGTGAGGTTAGAGGTATGTGCTGCCATGCTTGTGCTCCAAACACTTCGCCATCTCTGCATCCTCAAAGACCTAACTTTGTTGTGAGATAGTTTCTGCTCACCCTGGTTTGCCAGGAACTGTCTGGGGCTGAAGATGACTTGAACTCCTGGTCCCCCTGCTTACATCTCTAGAGGAATATGCTGAGATTAGAGGCCTGCATGCCCACACTTCCTGCATGCTAGTCGGGCACTCTACCAACCGAGCTACATCTCCAGTCAGCCTTCTGAGTACCTCAGACTTCAGAAATTAACTACAACACTCAGTGAGTTTATTTTCCTGAGCTGGTGAGCTGGCTTGGTGGTTAAGAACACTTGCTGTTCTCCCAGAGGACCTGTGGTCAGTTCCCAACACCACACTAGGCAGCTCAAGACCGCCTGTTACTCCAGCTTCAGAAGATCCAACAGCACTCACACTCACATTCCCATATGCAGGCACACACACCAACATATAACTAAAAATAATAATTTTGTAAAATTTAAAATTTTAAAAAATTTTATTTTGCTTTGCAGCCTGGTTGGCGTATGTTGTAGACACAAAGCTTCCAACACTTAAATGACTTGTTGATTTTGAGTGTGTGAGTGTTTTACCTACATGCTTGTGCTGCTATCCAATGCATAGTGTTTGCAGAGGCCAGAAGAAAGCATCAGATCCTCTGGAAACGGAGTTACCAATGTTTGTGAGCCACTGAACGCGGGGCTCGGCAGGGACAGTGTTCTTAACTGCTGAGCCACCTCGCCAGTGTGTTTTACTACTCTAATATAATGTTCTCTGATACTTCCCATTTCTTTATTTTCAATAATAATTCCTACCTCCCAACTAGTGACTGCAGCCAGTTAATGGGGTGTAACATGCAGACTGAAAAACACTGCGCTAGGCATTCAGTTTTCCTTACCTCAGGGTCACTGCATTTGTATTCGATTTGTCTGGAAACTTTTTTTTTTTATAAACTTGAAAAAAAATTGTTTCTTTCTTTGAGACAGTGCTTCTCTCTATAGTCCTGGCTGTCCTGGAACTCCCTGTGAAGACCGGGCCTACTTTGCCTCCACCTCCCAAGTTCTAGGATTAAAGGCATGCACCCCTATGCTGGGCAGGTGCATGGTACCCAGAATCTCAGTTAAGGACTTTATGCTGAGTAGCAATCACGTTCCCCACGGAGTCATCTCTCCAGCCCAGAGTTCTGCTAATTCCGACTGTCTTCTACTTGATAAGCTCTTCACTTGAATACTCCTTCCCGAATCTAAAGATGTCTTCTCACTAAAGTTGATGTGGCCTGAAGATGCTGGTAGATACTCAATACAAAGCAGAAAATTCAGAACACAGTAGTAATAGATGTACTGCGGCTTATCTTGAAAGTTAGACATTAGACGGCTATGTGTTTCTCTCCACGCCTCTCAGTCGCTAAACCCTGGAAGAGAGACTTCCACTACTTTTTCTCCATCGTTTTTTCTTTGGTTGGGTTTGGTTTTTTGAGACAGAACCTAAGCTTCTTACTTAGACCAGGCTGGCCTCAAACTTGGGGCCTCCGCCTCTGGCGTGCTGGGACTGCAAGCATGTGTCACCATACCCGGCTGAGGTTTTATTCATCCCTACGTTCCTTGCTCCTTGCATTGTGTCTTTATAACAGAAACCTGGAAAACCACTGAATGAGCAAGATGTAGTGGCTCATTCCTGCCTATATCGGGGAGGCTGAGGCAGGAGGACTGCCATTAGTTCGAGGACAACCTGGGTGATATGCAAGTTGGGCCACATAGAATTAGAAAGCCAAAATCAAAACAAAACCGAAACACAGTTCTGTTGAGTGGACGGGAAGGTAAACAGTCAGACTGCGGGTGGAGCCAACTCCGGGAGCTCACGCCTGGGCCACGCCCCCACGGCGATCGGCGGTCACGTGGAACCCCGAGGGTGTGGCCACGGGAGACTGGGCTAAGATGGCGACAGTGAGGAAGGCTTTCCCGCGAAGACTGGTGGGCTTGGCGTCCCTCCGGGCTGTAAGTGCCCCAGGCGGGTGACAGTCGGGGTGGGGTGGGCCTCGTTGATTGCTGTGACGGGCGAAGCGGGGCAACTCCAGGGGCCGGAGCCGGGTGGGTTTGAGAGTTCGGGACCCAGACCTTCTGGCTCCGATCCCTTGCAAGAAGCGCAGAAACTGAGGCCAGGTGACGCGAAGCAACCCGCTGTCATTGAGGAGACCTGGGACATCATCCTGGGTGTCCTAACTCCCTTACGGTGGTCCTGGCTTCTTTCCCTAATTGAGCTTCGGATCTCTCCAGCCCTTCATTAGTGAAAAATACGTCCCATCTGGAAAAAGCAAAAGCATCCCAGCTCGCTGCCTTTCCCAGATCTTGTTGCTTTTCCGGACGCCTGGGAGAGAACGTGGATCGCGTGGGCCAGGCAGGGATTCCCTCGGAATTGTACTTCGGGCTTGTTGGATCCTGGTGTTCCGTCCTCTCTCTCCCACGCGCAGTGAGGGGAGGGAAAGGGCCAAAGAACTGCGCTGACTAAACCGCAAACCGGTGTCGGCGGATGAGCTTATCACTTTCAAGGCTGGATGACCGAGATGCTTACTCAGCTTGTTTGTGCATAAAATGGATAGCTTGTCTCAGGGTGATGTGGTGAGTGATTGGATATTGGTGGTGCTTTGGTGGAGTTGAACTGTGTGGGGGGATCAGTTCCTCGCTTCCCTTCTCTACCACCGAGCTACATCCTGAGCTCAGTGACGGGGTTATTAAGATTAAAGTTGGAGAGTTTAGGCATTATATCAGTACTTGGGGAAAATGCTTTCTTGGTAGCTCATGGGGCTCTCATAAAACCACGTATGTATCTTTAATCTACCCAACTACCCCGATTGCTCCGGGATCAAATGAAAATGCCAACTCCAACTTAATTTAAGAAAGTTAAATGAGTTGGTGGATAATAATGTTTTATTTATTTGAGATAGTCTCTTTCTATGTAGCTCTGGCTGCCCTGGAGCTCACTATGTAGACCAGGCTGGTTTCGAACTCACAGAAATTAGCCTGCCTCTGCCTTTAGATTACAGGCACACACAACCATGCCCAGCTAAATCATAATCAATTAAAAACCTGGTATAGCCTGGTGGTGGTGGTGGCATATGACTTTAATTCCAGCACTCAGGAGGCAGAGGCAGGTGGATCTTTGCGACTTCCAGGCCAGCTTGGTCTACAGAGTGAGTTCCAGGACAGTCTGGCCTTACAGAGAAACCCTGTCTGGAAAAACTTAAAAAAAAAAAAAAAAACAAAAAAACAACCCTGGTGTAATGAAATGAACCTTCGTGAGTTTATGGCTAATGTCCACGATGTCACTTTTCACTTTTAATTTGTTTTTAATTACCTTCATTTGTTTGTTTGTTATGTGTGAGTTTGTCTGAGGGAAAGTCCAAAGGCTGACCAACTTTCAAGGTCGGTTTTACCCTGCTGTGTGGACTCCAGGAGTGTAACTCAGGCTATGAGGCTTAGCAGCAAGCTTCTTAATTCTTGCCAACCCAGGTTTCTGTGCTTGTCTTTCATTTATTTAATTTCATTTTATGTGCATTGATGTTTTGTCTGTGTGAGGGCGTTGGATCGCCTGGCACTGTAGTCACAGACAGTTGTAGGTGCTGGGAATTGAACCCAGGTCCTCTGGAAGAGCAGCAGCCAGTGCTCTTAACCAGTGAGCCATCTCTTCAGTGTCTTGTTTTTTTATTATTGGTTCATTCTGTGTGCATATCTGTGTAAGTGTGTACCATATGTGTTCCGGTGCCTTTGGAGGCCACTTGGAATTAGAGGCAGTTGACATGGTTGCTGGGACCTGAACTCAGGAAGAGCATCAAGTGCTCTTAACTGGTGAGCCATCTCTCCGGCCCCATTTATTTAGTTTTGAATTACATAAATGCATGTGTGCCTGCCTGTGTGTGAGCAGGTGCCCATGGATGCCAGAAGAGAATAGCAGGGTCCTTGGAGCTAGACTTACAGGCAATTGTGAGCTATCTGACATGTGTTTGGGAACCCAACTCGGGTCTGCTGTAGGAGCAGTATCTTATATTTAAAACAGCCCCTGGGGATGTTTTAAATATAAGATCTTACAACTCTCAGTCTGGCTTCAAGTTTGCTACATAGCTGAAGATGACCTTGGGCTTCTGGGCCTCCTTCCTCCACCCCCCAGGTGCTGGGATTAGGGGTGTGAGCCACCACACCTGGCCTGAATTGTTATATGAAGAGCTGTTGTGGGGAAAGAAATAGAACTAAGTTGAACTTGTTCCAAAGAAAGTTGGAAGCGGGTTTTGCTTCAGCATGTACTTACTGAGCCTCTATTTAATGTTCCAGGGCCTTGGGAAGAGCAATGAGTAGAACCAAGGTCCTGGCCCATGACACTTAAGCCCTACTGGGGTCATTTTAGGGTGGTGCACCCGCAGAGGCTGACGGTCTCTGCTGGAGAAAGACTCCAGGAGCAGGGACCCTTCTCTCAGCCTGCTAATTTCTTGTAATTCAGGGCCATCCCCCCTTAGTCTATCAGAAACTTTTGCTGGCTAAAGCCAAAGCCACTTCAGGTGTGTTGACTTGTTTCAGCTGATTCATGGCAGGGACGTGTCCTTAAAGGTGTGGAGGCCTTGGTATATTGTGCAGGGCACCTTTCCCTTAGCTCCATTGCAGCGTGTTTATCTGGGGCTGGGGAAGGACTGGAGAGGGGGTAGCTCAGCGGTTTAGAGTGATCGCTGCTCTTGAGGACCGGCCTTGATCTCTAGAACCTACCCGGTGGCTCACAACCATTTGTGACTCCAGTCTTAAGGGATCTGACACCTTTTTCTGGCTTATGAGGGCACTGCACACATGTGGTATAGACATACATGGGGACAGAACACCCAAACATGTAAAATAAGTAATAATTAATTGAACATTCTTTAGGTGGGTAGGGGAAGATTTGAGGCAGACTTGGTATATAGTAAGCTAAGGCGTTTTAAAATTGTGAGAAAAAACATGTTTTCTTCAGCTGCTGGGGATGTCACCTCCTCAGACCCACTGCCCATCATGTCGCCAGTCAGTCTAGAATTAGGCTTTAGACTAGTGTTAATATAGCAGAGCCTTTGTTTGTATCCTCAGCACCGCTGTGGGATCTGACAGCTAGGCCCTTTGTGCATTATTTGTTTTTCCTGTAGTGTTACTGAGTGCATTGCCAGGACAGTGCCAGCCAGGATGAGATGGGTCGGAGAGAGACAAGAGCTCCCCGCTTATAGAGAAAGAAATCCTTGTAGTCTTGGGAAATACAGAGCTCTTCAAAGGCTAGTCGGAGGAAGGCTCTCTGACTGACTAAATGATTGGTGGATGTAAGAATAGTTGAGCAGAGAGCAGCCCTGCTGGACTGGAGCATAGCCATGTGTTGGGCAGAGAGAAGAGACAGGAGCAGTAGAGTAGGGGTGAGTAATGAGGTCAGCCAGCCAAACTCTGCAGAGCCTCCAAGGCAGGGTGACTCTAGGAAGGGGTGAGTCAGGTCCCAGCTGAGCATCAGCGCCCATGATACCTTTTGCAGAAATAGACAGGATGGAGTCAAGTGTTTGTACAGTGCCGGGTTGGAGGAAGTGCTGAATGAGCAATGTACAGATGGGCAGTGAGAAGTGGATCTGAACCAGAGGAGGACCTGTGCGGAAGCATGGCTCTCCTGCTCATTCCTGCCCAGAGCACAGCTGGCTTTTTCCGTCTTCATCCTGAAAGAGGACCAGGTGGAGTTAAGTAGGGAGAAGAAATCCAGCTGTTTGCAGTAGGGAAGGAAGAGCCTGCGTAGTCCTATGCTAACGAGTGCTTCCTCTTTTAAACGACAGGTTAGCACCTCCTCCATGGGGGCTTTCCCGAAGCGGGTGAAGATCGTGGAAGTTGGTCCCCGCGATGGTCTGCAAAATGAAAAGGTAAAGATGGAAGCCGGTTCAGAAAAGATGATTCACATATCTGTTTTGAGCATTCCAAGGAAGTTGGGTCAGGTACATTATGGACTTTTGGTAAACTGAAATAAATTATGCAGCTATTGTTAGTCTTTCAAAACAAGCTTTCTCTGTGTAAGAGCCCTGGCTGTCTTGGAACTAGCTCTGTAGACCAGGCTCACAGAGATCCGCCTGCCTCTGCCTCCCAAGTGCTGGGATCAAAGGTGTGGGCTGCCACTGCCAGGCTAATACAAGTGTATTAAGTGACTCCAGACTGCAAAGCAGAATATATATTCAACTTTACTCCTTTGAGGATGAAATAGAAAAGGCCTAGGTGTGTGTGTAAGTATTTACTAAGGACATAAATGTCCTTAAAAGTGTAAGATTCTGCACCTGAATATGCAGCCACATGTGTCCAGCCCACGTGTACAGGACTCGAGTGGCCAAGGGTAACTTCCAATGTGGTTCATAAACCATTTATGGTAGCAACATGTGTGGCTTTTGAGTACTTGAAATCTGACTTGTGAGGAGGTTGGAGACATGATCAGGGGTTAAGAGTGCTTCCTGCTCAGAGAACCCAAGTTCAGTTCCCAGTGCCCTCATGGTAGCTTACAACCCAGGGAAGACAATGGCAGGCTTGGAATGGACTTGTAACATAATCTTACTGACTGGCACCAAGGAGCCATGGAAGGCTTTTTTTTTTTAAGTTTAGAGTTTTTCATTTTTATATTTAGTTATTTGCACCACTACCACCATCCAGCTTAAGGTTTCTTTTTATTTATATGTGTGTGTGTCTATATCTGTATATCTGCCACATGCGTGCAGTGCCCACAGAGGCATCCCTCAGGGGTTCTTTACTGCTGAGCCATTTCTCCTGCTCCTTGTGGATGGCTTTTGGGCAGGAAAGTGAGGCATCGGAGACTGCAGTTGGGGAAGTGAGAGAGGAGAGGGGAGGGTGTGATGCTTGGGGGTCCATCCCACAGCACTCACAGAGCAGTGGTGATTCATCTCTGCCCACGATGGCCAAGGCGCGTGGCTCTCAGTTTATAATGGGGTCATAAACCTACACACTGAGTTAAGGAAGAGTCTGCATCCGAGGATAATGGTGCTTCTACGCAAATATGAACACCTCAGGTGAGCAGCCATCAGTTGCCAGAGGACCAATTGGTAGAACTTGGAAACCGTGTGTGAGTTCACGTGAGTGTCCGAGGTCACCACAGTGAGGATCTAGCACAGTGAAAGCTTCAGGCTGAGGTCTGACTTCTGGTTAAGGCCCATTTTTTGGTACCAATGTTGCTGACTTGTATTTCTGGGTTTTTGTCTGTTACAGAACATAGTGCCTACCCCAGTGAAGATCAAGCTGATAGACATGCTTTCCGAAGCAGGGCTCCCCGTTATCGAAGCCACCAGCTTTGTCTCTCCAAAGTGGGTTCCCCAGGTGAGCTCAGCCTCCAGAAGAAGCCTGTCCCAAATGGGAGGGTGGGAAGCCCCCCACCCCCATTTGCTCTTGCAGCTACTGGAAATTGGAAGCATCAGTTTCCAGGTCCCGGGCTTGATGGGTCTCAGGTGAGTCTCAGCATTGTGTAGCACAGGAAGGGATATGACCTGGCAGCCAGGGGCTCCTATTCAGTCTGGGCTCTGCCCTAGTGTATTGGAGCCATTGGTAAGTGAGGCCTTTGCCCTCTCAGGTTAGAGGTAGCCTCTGAGGTGTCTCCTAGCTCATCCCCACGGCCATCTGCAGCATCTATGTTTCTAAATGGGAGAGCAAGGACTGCTACTTCCCAAGGGTGGGCAAACCATCCCATGACAGTGAGTGCCAGGCATTGCAGAGGGAGCGGTGCCCAGGGCTGCTTGGTAAGTGGCTGCTGCTAGATGTGACTTCAGGTACCACAGAGCTGGCAGTACTGGCTGTAGGAGCTGCCGAGGTCACGATGCCCAGGGTGTCTCCTGACCCCTGAATGGTCAGACAGATAAGGGAAGCATTGGAAACAAGATTCAGTGGTGAGAGAAGGTCTTCTTTGACGCTCAGCTCTTGGCTTCTTTGGCTCCCAGATGGCTGACCACTCTGAAGTCTTGAAGGGCATTCAGAAGTTTCCTGGTGTCAACTATCCAGTCCTAACTCCAAATATGAAAGGCTTCGAGGAAGCGGTAAGAGGTTGACAGTATCAATCCCTATCTTGTCTTCCAGTCCTATCCTGGGATATCGCTCTGAACAGCTTATCTCCAGCGGTGATGAGCAGCACCAGATTGGTGGTTGGGAGAAAGTAGTCCAGTCCTGTCACTCACTGCTCCATTGTCTTGACAAATGGCTTAACCTCTGAGCATGTGGTCTGCCCATGAACTAGGACTGTTGATGGTACTTACAGCTGAGCCCATTAGGGAGGCAGTAGGATACACATCAGTCAGTGCTTGGCAAGAGCCTGAGAGACACACACTTTCTGAAACTATTAAGTCCTGGGATTACCCACTTTTTTTCTTTTTTTGAAATTTTATATGTTCTGGTGTTTTGCATGAATGCCTGTGTACCATGTGCATTGCAGTACCTGCAAAGACCAGAAGAAGGCATAAGATCCTTTGGAACTGGAGTTACAGACAGTTGATAGGGCATATGGATGCTGGGAATCAAACCTAGGTCCTGTGCAAGAGCAGCAAGCACTCTTAAGTGCTCGCCATCTCTGTAGCACACAGGATCATTCACTTCTTTAGGGAAGGGTAACAACGCTGCACATGGAAGCTTCTGCAGTGGCTGCTAAACACCTATCACTTGTAATATTCTAAACAGTGTCTTGACATGCTGATTGTGTGATTCATCATAAACTTATTTCAAGAGTGACCCCCCCCCCGCCCCACCCCAGGTTGATGGTGGTAGTGTTGATTTCCTTGGAGGACATCAGACTTTAGGTTTTTTTGGTATCTCTAGGTCCTAGGGTTCAAATCAAGTGCCTCACACTTAACTAGGAAATGCCCTGAGCTACATCCCCAGCCTTGTTTTTGTTTTGTTTTCTAATTGATGTAAGTTTGCTAGGACTGCAGTGAGAAAATACTGCAACTGTAACAGGAATGGCTTTACTGTCTCACATTGCAGAGGTCAGGGGGTGTTGGCTGCCTGTGCGGCCTCACGGGAGCCTGTCCCATGCATCTCCTAGTGCCTGGGATGACCGGTTAGCCCTGGTATTGCTCGGTTTGTACGTGCCTCACTCAGTGTCCGCTCCACCCTCAGGTCACCTCCCTCATTTCAGTGTCTTCACATAGCCATCTTTTAAGGACGCCAGTCATTCTGGATTAGGCCCATCCTGCCCTGTTGTGGTCTCATTTTTATCTAAGTGCATTTGCAGTGACTTATTTCCAAGTAAGGTCATGTTCTGGGGATTGGGATATCCACATATTTGTTTGTTGTTAAATGTATTGTGTGTGCACGCACATACATGTGCGGTGGCATTCATATGGAGGTCAGTGAAAAACTTGAGTGACTTGATTCTCTCCTTCTACCATGTGGGTCCTGGGGAATTGAACTCAGGTCATCAGGATTGACAGCACATGCCTTTTACCTACTGAGCCATCTCGCCATCCCCAACGTCTTTCCTAAAGGGTATTTATTTATGTGACTTTCAACCTGTAACAGTCACAGACCATAAAACTTGCCACAAGAAAGGTTTTGCCGCTGGGACCAGTTCCTCCAAGAATGACGTGCTAAAGGTATTCACTGGGATATTGGCAGGTATCTGCGGGTGCCAAGGAAGTAAGCATCTTTGGGGCGGCCTCTGAGCTCTTCACCCGGAAGAATGTGAACTGCTCCATAGACGAGAGTTTCCAACGCTTTGATGGAATCATGAAGGCCGCACAGGCCGCCAGCATCCCTGTGAGAGGGTGAGTCAGGCCTCAGAGGGTTCTTTCCTCAGCACCCTTGTAGGACGGAGCCAGATTCCTCCACCCTCTACTCTCTCCACCTCAGGCTCCTGCTGGGTGGGAGCAACCCAAACTCCACACCTGCACCTTCTCCAAGTGATCGGAGTCAGGAGATTATCCGGGGTTTCCCTCAGACCTAAATTTGGTGGCTGACCAAGTGTAGATCAGGCCAGCCTGGAACTCACAGACAGCCACCTGTGTCTTGCTGGGAGACGTGGAACACCACCATGCACAGCTCTAGGATTTGATTCTTACGGTGCTGGGAAGCCAGGCCTGGTGGCACAAGGCCTGGTAATGCATGCCTTTGAACATGTCTCAGAACACAAAATCAAGCAATAGCAACAATAAAATACAGGGCAGGGGCCAGGCCGTGGTGGTGCATGCCTTTAGTCCCAGCACTCGGGAGGCAGAGGCAGGCGGATCTCTTGGGTTTGAGACCACACTGTTCTACAGAGGGGGAGTTCTGCACAGAGAAAACCTGTCTCCAAAAAACAAAACAAGAAATACAGTGGTTGAACAGGGGTTCAGCACTGATGGAACCTTGTAGCAGGGTAGGCAATACTCTGCCCCTGAGCTATGTGCACAGTGAGTGAATGCTTTCAATCTAGCACGCACAGTAGCCCATGGCTCTTTTCTGGCCTGAGGCTGCATGCTGTGTTCCAGCCGCTTGTGGAGCTCCGCTCCATCTGCCGAAGTGCCCTCTGCTTCCCTGCTCCAGGCCTGTGACCTCACCCTTCATGGACAGGACGCTTCTTCCTCCATTCTGCTTCTCTGTCCCTGCAGGGTGCTGCATGGCTGTCAGCTCAGTCCCTGTGGGTGCTGCGTGGCTGTCAGCTCCTCTTGGTTTCCTTTGTCCCTCAGCAGAAGACAGCGCCCCTCCTTGGGTTCCAAAGTCTTCTGATATCCTGAAACCATGGCACTTAGCTGTCTAGGTCTTCAGCTGCACTGGGCTAGGCTCCCTCTCAGGACAGGCCACTCCCCACAGTCCCTGGGTACTGAGCTTTCCCGTTGCGGGGCCTGGTACACAGAAGGTGCTCGAGACCAGATGAGCAGGTGGAAGGAAGGCGGGAAAGCGGGGTCTCCAGTCAGTACCTCCAGCCTGTGCTCTGTCTTGGTAAATCTTTTAACTTTTTCTTTCTCTTCTTTCCTTTTGTTTTTTATTTTTTGTTTGTTTTGAGCATGGCCTCACTATGTAGCCCTGGCTGTCCTGGAACTCACTCTGTAGACCAGGCTGGCCTCGAACTCACAGAGTTCTGCCTGCCTCTGCCTCCCAAGTACGGGGATCAAATGTATGTGCCACCACCACCTTTTCTTGTTTAGCAATGTTTGCAGAATGAATGGGAAAATTAAGGTGGAAAGCACACAAGGTTTTTGTAGTGTTGATTCAGCAAGCATTGCTCCATCTCTTTTTATTTTGACTTACACACTTATTTATCTAATTGTTTATTGAGGCTGTGTCTTTCTATGTAACCCTGACTGGCTTGGAACCCACAGAGATCTGCCTGCCTCTGCCTCTTGAGTGTTGGGATTAAAGGTGGGCGCCACCACTCCTGTCTCCATCTCTTAAGATGTAAAATATTGTACTTGACCATGAAGGATTTGAGTTGTTTGGTTTGGTTTGTTTTTCTGACAGCATCTCACTCTAGGTTCATGTTGGCCTAGAGCTCATTATGTCACCAAGGCTGGCAATCCTCCTGCCTCAGCCTCCCTGGTGCTCGGGTTACCAGGCTTGAACTACCACCCTCAGTCTCACTCTGTAAAGAGGTGGGGAGAGCAGCCCCTGCTTCTACAGCCCACAAGACCATCACGGGTCAGGCAAGCCGGCCACCCATCCAGTCACCCTTCTGTGCCCCTGACACACACACACACACACACACCCCGCGTTAGATGTTCTGTCCCTTGCTCTGTCCTGGGCACGCCAGTTTCTGGTCTTGACTACAACATGCTTTCCGAAGACCTCCCCTCCCTAACTCCAGCGCCATGGCCTCAGGGAGCTCAGGGAGGCCTGCTTAGCCGATCCTTGCTACACTGGCTGCCTGTGCTTCCTCCTGCTGCTGCTTCCTTCGGGGCTCATCTCTTTCTGGAATTTTCTCTCCCTCCTGTTGTGAGCATGGTTTTATTTGCCATGCTCCTGACTTGAACAAGCTCCTGGAGGCTAGGGCCCATGCGTGGGCCCACTCTGCCTAATGCCTGGCACATCGTCAGTAAACATCAATGGAATAGACCAGCAGATGAGCCATCAGGCCCTCAAGCCTTGCTACTGACTCACATCCGTTCTTGTTGTTGTACTAACCTGTGTGTTCATCCTGGCATTGGTGACCTGAATACTAGAGCAGCTCCCCCGGTACATGGGGCTGCCCCTCCAGACAGCTCAGGTGAACCTTAGTTCCTTGTACCTATGGTGAATTCTCAGCCACCTGCAACCCTGCTTCCGGAACTAGCCTCTCAGCCCCGCCTGTCCTTCAGGCTTCTCTTGTGCTCCAGAAACTAGGCCAAAGAGCCTCTCTCCCACTCAGTGCTAACCTTTCACCCAGTGCTGGGCCTCCTGCCCGGCTTCATGTTTACTGTGGGCTCACCAGGGATGTGTGTCAGATGGTCACCAGCCATTTCTGATGGCCAGCGAGCTGGGGGCACTGACACCGTTCCTCCCATTTTTCCACAGGTATGTCTCCTGTGCCCTCGGATGTCCCTATGAGGGGAAGGTCTCCCCGGCTAAAGTAGCTGAGGTGTGTGTAGTGGGGCAAGGCCTCGTGAGGGTTAACATCCTTGCCAACCTGTGTGCACAGGTGCCCTCACCTCCCTTTCCCAGTAGGACACTTTTTCCCCTCCATACACACCCCTGCCCCTCCGGTCACCTCCTCGCCAGGTCTCTGCCCCACCTGAAAGCCCCGCATTCAGCTTCCAGTCTCATGGGCTGAGGCTTGATCACCAGCGTGGTGTCCCCAGGTTCCTTGTAGTAGGCGAGAGACCACACACATCCTCTCGACTAGTAACCAGGGCCACACAGAGGAGGAGCCAGCATAGGATCTGAGTGTGAGTAACCCAGGAACTTCAACCAGAAAGCTTCACTGCCCATTTGATGCCGTTCTCCCGTGAACAGTTGGGGAAGCAAGTCACTTGCCACCCAGGGTGCAGATGCAGATCGGGTCTTACCATTGTGCCCAGTAGCTTGTGGCAGCCAGTCAGAGGAATGGTGCCGAGGGCTCAGAGTGGCTGTCGTTCCCTGCTCAGAGCAGCCCACTCCCATAGCCCATCACTTCCCAGAAGCAGGAATTGAGGCTCAGAGAAGTTATACCCCCAAAGCACGTAGCCAGTGATCTGCAGAGTGGGGACATGACTCAGCATCACATGGCCCCAGAGGCCTGCCACTGCTGTCCCCTGATAGGCACACGGGCAGGGGTGGAAGGTGGGATGTCTCTGTCATTGTCAGGATGATCGGCAGTAAACTTCTGTCTCTGCCACTGCCACCGCTCCACTCTGCGCAGAGCCAGGCGTGGGCAGCTCCTTCAGGGAAGGCTTGGGCTGCTGGCGCTTGGCAGTGACCCACCGGTTACAGATGAACTCCTGTAAAGTCATAGCTCCCTGTGGCTCCTTAAAGTGTACGAAAGTACCCAGCTAGTACCTGAGACCCACAGTCGGCAGACCCTGCCACCAAATGAAGGAAGGGCTTTTCCTGATCCCAGTCAGCCGTGTGGAGGAATCGGGCGACACGGGCTGCTGCAGCGGCTGCCTCCATTCTGGTCTCAGTCTCGCTGCCTGTGGGTAATGTTCACCATTCTCATTGGAGTTGTCAGGGTCTAGGACCCAACAGGAACACAGCACTTCCAGGAGGGAGGTGAACCTCCTGGGCAGAGTCCCTGCTTCTGAACCCTAGTGTCAGTCACATGCTGGTGTCTCTGAGGCCCTCCCAAGTATCTGCTCGCTTTTCCAGGTTGCCAAGAAGTTGTACTCGATGGGCTGCTATGAGATCTCCCTTGGGGACACCATTGGTGTAGGCACCCCGGGACTCATGAAAGACATGCTGTCTGCTGTCATGCGCGAGGTGCCTGTGGCCGCACTGGCTGTCCACTGCCATGACACCTATGGCCAAGCCCTGGCCAACACCTTGGTAGCCCTCCAGGTAATGAAAGCCACGTGCCCCATCCCTGAGAGGGAGGGCATGGGGCAGGGCAGCCCAGTTTCACTTTACTCATTAATGAAAGTATTGAAGTGCCTGTGGTGGTACACCTTTAATACCAGCATGGGAGGCAGATGGATCTCTGAGTTCAAGACCAGCTTGGTCTACAACAGTGAGTTTGAGGATAGCCAGGGCTACACAGAGAAACCCTGTCTCAAACAGAAGTATTGAGCCTGTCAGTGGTGGCATGTGCCTTTAATCCCAGCAAGAGGCAGAGGCAGGCAGATCTCTGTGAGCTCGAGGCTAGCCTGGTCTACAAATAGAGTTCCAGGACAGCCAGAGCTGTCTCAAAAACCAAAGGAAAAAAAAGTATATGAGACCACAGATGGTGAAACACTTAGATTAAGGGAACGTCTTCTCGCGGAAAATAACAGACTTGGTGGACAAGAGAGGATTCTGTAAGGTAGGTGGGTAGGTACAGAGGCCTGAAGCGGGTGCTTACCGTGTTCAGGGAACATGGAGGAGACATTGTTAACAGCCTTGTGAGCAAGAGAGTAAGAAAGTGAAACCTGCTGCAATGGCGCCCTCTGGTGTTGGTTTTTATGCTGGCATCAGGGCCATAGCAAGTGTTAGACCTGAAGACTTGATGGGATGTGACGGGGATGTACCTGCCTGTGGAGGTCAGGACTAAGGAGCTGGTTCTCTCCTTCTGCCTGGAGATCAAGTTCAGGTTGTCCGATTCGGTGGCAAGTGCCGTTACCCTCTGAGCGAACCATCTCACTAGCCCATTGTAAATCCTTTTGAGAGCCTTCCAGCCTCCCATTTCTTTAGCTCTGTTCAAAACAAAACACCGCTCAAGAGCTGAATCTGCTATCTCCACAAGTCTCACTGGACCAAGGAGCTAGACTGGTGGCTCAAAGGGGAAACGGAGCCAGGAACCAACCATGAAGGGATGGGGGAAGATCCTCTAGCAGAAGAGATTCACTGATCCTCAGAGGATTCCTCTCCCGCAGGGTCACGGGCAGGAGAGTGGCTCTGGTAGAATTCCTGACACCAGGGCAGGGGGTTTGTGAGGAGCTTCAGGCTCCCGCAGCAACCACATTTCACCATCCTGTGTTTCCAGATGGGAGTGAGTGTCGTGGACTCTTCTGTGGCAGGACTGGGAGGATGTCCCTATGCAAAAGGGGCCTCAGGGAACTTGGCTACCGAGGACCTGGTCTACATGCTGACTGGCTTGGGGATTCACACGGTAAGCCCGCCTGCCCCCTGGTGGTGACATCCCTGAACTAACAGGGCTGACCTGGAAACAGGATAGGGATGATGGGCATGCTTAGGGTTGTTGGCCTTTAGGAGAAGGGTGGCAGGGGCTGTGGGAGCTTTATATTTCTGGAAGAGCAGAAGAGAGACTAAACAATCATCCAGGAGAGTGGAAAGTGGCTGAAATGGAACCTTGTGTGGTTAGAGGCCCTGGCAGAGCAGCCTGGGGTGTGTACATGAATAGCCATAGACAAGGGTGTCAGCGGTTGGAGAGGTTTGGTTGATGACCTAGAAGGGGTAGACTTAAGATTCCAAGGATGAGAAGGAGCCAACCAAAAAGGGAATGAGGAGAGAGGTCTCTGGCAGAGGAAGCAACGTGGCGGAAGAGACTTTGGTCTGGTTGAACATGATCATGAGCGCAGGAGACCAAGGTCCCAGAGTGTTGCCCATAGTTGGGGTCTAGGAGGCCCCCCAGGAAGTGGATGGAAAGAGCCCTGAGAGGGGCCAGCTTCATGACCTGCAAAGAGTCACTTCCCTGAGCCTGAGCCTGTTTTCTCTCTGAAACGAGGACAGTAAAAGTAGCTGCACAGGGCTTCACCAGACTCAGTAGGGACCTCAGTGGCGGTGTAGAGGTCACACAGTGTCTCTGCTTTGAGTTTTGACCATTTAAAACTCAGATCTGTTCCTCACAGGCTGTGCAACCTCAGATTATGCCATCTCTCTAAACTCAGTAACGGCAGTAAAAGTAGCGCTCATAGGTTGTTATGGGACATGAGAAAATGTATGGCCAGAGGTGTAGGTCAGTGGCAAGGCCCTGGGTCCAGTCTCTAGCACCAGAAGAAACCATGTAGAGTGCTTAGCACCCGGTACTCAGCCACAGATAGGATTTGCTCTTACAGTTGTGTGGGGTGAGGAAGCGGCTCGGTAGTAGAACCCTTGTACCATGAGCAATGGTTTGGGTGCCATTCCTGGCACAGGTAGAAAGACACAGAGGCAAATAGGTGGACATTATGTCTCCCATAGGCCAGGCCCTGAACATGGAGATGGGACAAGACTAATAAGGTCCCTCTTCTGGCGGTGGACCCACAAGCCGCCCTGAAGAAAGAACCCTGGGTGATAGACTTTGATGATTCCCCCATGGAAGGCCTCCCTCTACAGGGCATGTGGGGGTGTGGGATGGGGGGGGTTGGTGGAGGGCATGGGAGGATGAGAGGGAAAGGGAACTGGGACTGATATGTAAAATAATATTATTTCTAAATTAAATAAATAAATGTAATAAAAAAGGAAACAATGTAAAAGAGAACCCTGGTGCCAGCCAGACACAATCTCCCAGACAGTGGTCGCAACAGGGGCCTGTGTGCTGTCACCTTGCCTTTCCCATGCCAAAGCTGTCTAGCCTCTTTCCCTAGGTGTTGAGGGCATCCTCTGTCTCATTTCTTCAAGGGTGTGGACCTCCAGAAGCTCCTTGAAGCCGGAGACTTCATCTGTCAAGCCCTGAACAGAAAGACCAGCTCCAAAGTGGCACAGGCCACCTGCAAACTCTGAGCCCTTGTTCACCTGTGATCCGGGACTGCGGGAGGTGGCATGCACAAACGATTCCTTGATGGGAGAAATGGAATGGGGACAAATGAACAGGTATCACGAAGGTCCTTCTAGACAGAAAGGGCTGGGGCTGACTGAGTGGCCTTGGAGCCCGAAAGTGTCCCTTCACAGTGGACCAGCTCCGAAGAGCTGAGTGTCTGAGCACTGGCTTGGGATGGCCCTGGGTCTCCTGGGTGAATCTGCTGGCTAACAGAGCTGAAGTCCACCCTGCCATGCCTGAGGGTCCTGCTCTACGGCAGGGACCAGAGAGCAGTTTTCCCTCAAGCCAGCAGAGCATTTGCTGAAATGGTGGGAGTTGATCTGCAGTGGTGGCCATCTGTCGACCTCCGCATCTCTGGGAAATCTTCACTCTGTACGTGATTTTTGACAACAGCTTGTGTAATTAAAGGTTTAATTTTCTGATATCAATCATGCAAATGTGTGTTCGTTTATGAGTAGGAGAATCGGGTCATTCTTCTGGAAGAGTGGGGGCTTTCCCTGGTTCCTGTCTGATCTCTTCCATCTTCACACAGAGGCCCCCCGTCCAGTGGTTGGAAATCATGGCTGTGGGTTAATTCCCAAGACCAGCATGGTGGCTGGCCAGGACTCCCAAGGGGTTGCTTCTGAGGCTGTGCCTCTCTGTTCTCAGAGTAGTAACAGAGGTGTCTTACTGGCCTGGAACTAGCCAGGTAGGCTGGCTAACTGGCCAGTGAGCACCTAGGAATTTGCCTGTCCCTACCCCCAATGCTGGGATGAAAAACATAATGTTCAGCTTGACTTTTTATTTATTTATTTATTTAAAAGATTTATTACAGATACAGTGTTCTACCTGCGTGTATGCCTGTGCACCAGAAGAGGGCACCAGCTCTCATCATAGATGGTTGTCAGCCACCATATGGTTGGTGGGATTTGAACTCAGGACCTCTGGAAGAGCAAGCAGCTAGTGCTGTTAACTTCTGAGTCACCGCTTTAGCCCCAGCTTGCATTAAAAAAAAAAAAAAAAATTCTTGTTTTCATATGAGTTCTGGGTGTCAAACTCAAATCTTCATGGACTTGCAATCTTCATAAGCTCTACATTAGTTTTGATATGTGGTCTAAGCTGGCCTTGAACTCAGCAATTCTGCCTCCAAAGTGCTAGGATTGCAGGCAGGAGCTAACATGCCTGACTTCTTGCCTCTTTTTAAAAATTATTTAAAGATTCTGTTGTTACTGTTTCTTGAGACAGGGTCTCTCTGTGTAGCCCTGGCTGTCCTGGAACTCACTCTGTAGACCAGGCTGACCTTGAACTCACAGAGATCCATCTGCCTCTGGCTCTTAAATGCTGGGATTAAAGAAAAGCACCACTACTGCCAGGCTTTTTAAATAATTTTTACTTTCAGTTTTATATGCATCGGTGTTTTGCCTGCATGTATGTCTATATGAGGGTGTTGGATCCCTGGAACTGGAGTTATAGACAGCTGTGAGCTGCTATGTGGGTGCTGAGAATTGAAACCTGGTTCTGTGCTCTTTTAACCCCTGAACCATCTCTCCAGCCCCTAAGATGTACACACACACACACACACACACACACACATGCCACATGCATGTGTAGGTATGTGCACTTAAGTGTAAATGCTGAGGAGTCCGGAAGAGGTTGGGGATCACCTGGAGTTGCCCATACGGACAGTTGTGAACCGTGCAGGTTAGGTGCTAAGAAAACAACTTCGGTCCTCAGCAAAAGCACCTGCATGCACCAGCTCTTAACTACTGAGCCTTCTTGAAGCTTTTCTTCCTCACTTTAAAAAATAAATAAATAAAATAAATAGTGGCTGGAGAGATGGCTCAGCGGTTAAGAGCACTGACTGTTCTTCCAGAGGAACTGGGTTCAATTCCCAGCACCCACATGGCAGCTCACAACTGTCTGTAACTTCAGTTTCAGGGGATCTGATACCTTCACCCCCGTACACATAAAATAAAGGTTAAAGTTAAAAAAAAAAAAAGTAAAAATAACATTTAAAAAAAAAAGTGTATGGGGGGGGGGCAGTGACTGCAGGAGCCCCAAGAAAGAGTGGCTTGAGATCCTGGAGCTGTGTTTGTGAAGAGTAACAAGTGATCTTCCAGCTCTGCCTCTTTTTTTTTTTTTTTTTTTTTTTTTTTTTTTGGAGACAGGTTCTCACTATTCATCCATGGCTGGCATGGAACCCACCGTGAAGATCTCGCTGTCCTCCACAGAAATTTGCCTGTCTCTGCTTCTTAAGTGCTGGGATTGAAGGTTTGTGCCACCAGGAAAGATTTATTTATGTATATGTGGGAGAACGTCAGGTATGTGCAGGCGGCCATGGAGGCCAGAAGCGGGCATGGGATCCCTGGAATGATAGGCAGTATGTGGGTGCTGGGAAAAGGACTCTGATCCGCTACAGGAGCAGCAAGAGCTCTGAGCCATCTTCCAGCCCCGCCTCTTACTTTAAACCGAGACAAAACTGTGTATTGGACTGCTATATGGTTGGCAGGTACAGACACACTTTTGGAGGGAGGCAGTGGCTCAATGATGGGCACACTAATTGCTATTGAGAATTTAAAAGTTCCTTCCCGCTCCAGGGTTTCTTCCCAAAGTGGACTTGGATCCAGGTCAAAGCCCAGGCCAGCCATGCCCTCCAACTAGAGCAGCCCGAGGGGAAACTCGGAAGCCAGCGGCTCAGAGTGGAGACTAGAAAAGCCACACTCCTTCCTAGCTCTGTGTCTCCACAGCTGCGATTGAGCGGATGGGGCCCGCGCCCCTCACTTCCGTCCTTGATGAAAACGCACTGCGCAGTCGCCTAAACCTGTGCAGGCCGTTTGTCCCTCTAGAGCCGCCGTAGAGCAGGTAACCCTGTAGACACATTTCCTGGAGGGCGTGAAAGGGGCGTGGCCAGTCTGGGCTGTCAGTTCTTAAAGGGGCCGCCGCCCTGGTCGCAGGAGGCGGCACCTGGAGCCAGCGCGGGATCCTCAGCAGGTTTGGAGAGCAGAATGAAGGGCTTAGTGGGCACGGAAGGGCCTGTGGTCGGCGGGGAGCGAGGGAGTTCCTAGAGGGTCGGTCCGTGCTCGAGACAGAGCCAGGCCCGCCCCTTATGTTAGCATTCCCGCGGCCCTAGAGGGGAACCCGAACCCATTCATTCCGGACCTGGCTCCCCGCTCGCGCTCCCAGCCCAAGACCAAAGTCCAGCGCTAAGCCGGGCGCGTCCGGGCTCTTGGTGCCCAGCGTCCTCTCCCTTCCATTGTACAGACTGGGAAAACTGAGAAAGGGCAGCTGGCGAAGGTCACCCCCCCAAGCGGCCTCGGATCAGCTTTTATGACTCCAGGGCCCCTCGGTGACCACTTCACCGCGTCCCTGCTCAGTGCGGGAGCAGCGGCGAGTAGCGGGGGGGGGGAAGAGGGGGAGTTGGGGGCTCCCACCCAGCCCAGGTCTCACTGCTGTGTGATCCCGTGTGACCCCCCCCCCCCAGACCGACTGCCTTCGGGCTCTGACCCTAGTACCAAATGTTAGTGGGACATCTGTCTCATCCAGATGTGGGGGAAACTGAGGGCAGGGGGAGCACAAGTACAGGTTAGTAATTCTGGTATGCAGTGGATGCCCAGTCCAGTGGGCTGCAGCAGAATGACCCCAGCAGCGACTTGAGGCAGCCTGGAGAAAGACGGAAGCAGGCCAGATCTCGAGAATGAAAGGCCTTAGTGTGTGGATTTCCTTTCTGTCCGCCCAGCAGTTTGCTTAGGGCGGGATGCACACCTGGCAGTGGAAATGGAGCCAAATCCACGTCGACACCAGCCCACTGGGATGCTGCCCAAAGTTGGGCGGGATCTGTTGCCTCAAGCCGGGGAGTGACCCAGCCGGGCCAAAGCTGAGCTATTGGCTGCCCCAGGGTGGAGAAGCCCTATCAACTCCAGGGCCCGTTGGTACTGCAGCCTCAGAGCTAGCTAGGCTCAGCCTCCAGGACTCAGGACCCCACCCTTGAAGTCATTTGCTATATTTTCTGCTTCCTCCCAACTGACCTTCAAGTAGAAGGGTTGTTGGAAAACTAGGTATTAGTTCCAAACCCAGGATACTTTTGCTCCTGGGAGAAGACCTGAGTTTATAGAGACAGCCCTTTTTTAAATCCTAGCATTCCCAACCGTAAAACCATGTTCTTCTGCCCAGGACTGCCCATTCTCCAGACAGGGAGGCAGGAAGGATGGGTCCTCAAAAGTCCCCTCTTCCTACCCCATATCAACGGGAACTAGACAATACGGTGTGTGTCCTACATTGACAGGTGGGGGCCTTTGAATCGCCCCATTGGGCCCTCCATGGCATGTGTACAGTAATTAGTCCTAGAGATGGAAGCTACTGGCCTAGGGAGGGTAGGGACATTTCAGCCCCTGTTGCCAGAAAGTGACAGTTGTCCAGTCAGACCCAGGGCTGACTCGGGAACCCCTCCTTAAACTAGGGCCCACAACTGCATCCTCCAAGATGAGGTCAAGGGGACCAGCATCCCTGAACAGACACCCTCTGAAACTCTGCCCTCTAAGCAGGCACCATGGCGGAGAAGGTGCTGGTCACTGGTGGAGCTGGCTACATAGGCAGCCACACAGTCCTGGAGCTGCTGGAGGCAGGCTACTCCCCAGTAGTCATCGACAATTTCCATAATGCCATACGTGGTGAGTGAGCTGGATGCAAAGCAGTGACTGGTTTCTGTAGGGAGGGGTTGTGTTCAGACCTCCATCTTCCTTCTAATACTCATAGCCTCTACATGCCACCAGGAGGGGACTCCATGCCTGAGAGCCTACGGCGGGTCCAGGAGCTGACAGGCCGCTCTGTGGAGTTTGAGGAGATGGACATCTTGGACCAGGCAGCCCTACAGCACCTCTTTAAGAAGGTGGGTGCTAGCTGGATGTGGTGGTGCATGCCTTTAAACCCAGCACCAGGGAGGCAGAGGCAGGCGGATCATTTCTGAGTTTGGGGCCAGTCTGGTCTACATAGCAAGTTCCAGGACAGCCAGGGCTACACAGAGAGACCCTATCTCAAAACAAATAAACAAAAAGGTGGGGGCTGCTTGGCAGGGGAAAGGAGCGTTGGTGGCAGAGCTTCCCTTCTCTGACCTTTGCTTTACTCTCACAGCACAGCTTTAAGGCCGTCATCCACTTTGCTGGGCTCAAGGCTGTGGGCGAGTCGGTGCAGAAGCCTCTGGATTATTATAGAGTTAACCTAACAGGGACCATCCAGCTTCTGGAGGTAAGAGGAAGGGGACACAGACCCCAGCTGGGCCACAGTAGGGGCCGGTGTGGGAGCACCAGACAGGACCCAAGCTGTATTATCTTGGACACATACATGCCTTTCTTTACCTCCCAGCCTGTTTCCCTCTCTGTAACTGAGCGTGCCCGTCGCCTCAGCCCCACCCTCCTAGGCTGGAGTAACAAGTGGGACTAATTGGGGAGGCA